TTGATAATGAATGTTATAAATAGATCCACAGATTCCACGCTGATGGTGATGAGCAAAGCGAAGCATAAATTCATCAAGAACGTCCTCGATGTCACGAGCGACGTCTCGCACTTGCTTAACCCATGTTCGGAGCTCTAAATCGGTCTCTTCCATTGCATCAGCAACCCTCAAGAAGCCCCTCATGCTCTCCAGCTCATCTCTAATGAACACAAATTCTCGATTAACACCACCCAACAATTTCAACTCGTTATCCATAGGGGTGCAACTCGGTCGGGTTCGGTCGGGTTGGGGGTTTGCCCAAGCCCGACCCGAATTGTATTTGGCACTGCCCAAGCCCGCCCAAGCCCGACCATGAACCCGAACATTGTTGCCCAAGCCCGGCCCAAGCTTTGTATTTTGAACTTGGGTTGCCCGAATTGCCCGAATTGCCCGAGTTCAGAAACCTGTAGGTAGATCTAAGGGTAGACATAAAAGATGCTAATCTAATGGTAGAAAACTAAACAAAAAAAAATAAAAAATAAAAATTAAGACTAACTCTTTTACTTAATAGAAGACTAACCAAAAATAAAAATAAAAATAAAAATTAAGACTAACTCTTTTACTTAATTTATATATATTACATAATTTATTAAATTATATATATATTATATATTATATAATTTATATAATATATTAAATTGAATTTGGGTTCGGGTTGCTCGGGTTGGCCATTGGTTCTGCCCAAGCCCGGCCCGAATTGCAATTCGGGTATCAAAAATCTGCCCAAGCCTGTCCAGATTACAAGATATAGTTGCCCAAGTCCTAAAAAAACTCGGGCTGGGCTCGGGTTGCTCGGGTTGAGCCCGCCCGAGTTGCACCCCTAGTTATCCAGCATGCTTGAAAGTTTTGCAACCAAGGTCACCACACCAAGTGCCATTCTTTCTTCGTTTTTTCTTCTTTTTTTCTTGTTCGAAAAAAGAAAAATGAAGACCAAATGAATTTGATGAAAGATGGTGAAGCAGAGAGGATCAGAGGCACATAGGTTGAAACAGGTATTGCACACAGATATTTTGTAAATTTGTGGCTGTTGATATTTTGTAAACAACAATGATTCATCCCCCCTTTTCCCCCCACCTCCTTTGACCCCCTCTCTCTCTCATTGGTTACATTTTCTTTTTCTTTTTTTTCCTGCTCCTCCAATCACCACCTGTCACGTGGTAAAGGGGGTGAGGGGGTGACCCCCAAAAGGGGTCCCAAGCATTATTCTTTTGTAAATTTGTGGCTATTGATATTTGAAATAGTGCATTAAAAAAATTAAATATATAAATTATAAAAAAAAAACAAATTGAATACGAAATAATTTTGGCTAAACTGAATATTTTTAATTGAATATAAATTTTAAAAAAAATTCAATATATAAATAATTAAACACAAATTCAAAGAATAAACAATTGTAATCAAAGAGATTTAATAAACATAAAAAAAAATAATTATTTAAAAGTTCAAAAAAAATAACTCAAAGATAATACAAAATATATGAATGTGTGTATATATCGTACAAAACTCGAAGACAATGCAAAAATATATAAGTATGTGTATATATATCATATCAAACCTTGAAATTAAAAAAAAAAAGAAAAAAGAAAAAAGAAAAAAAGAGCTGAATATCTATTTATTTTTCCTCCTCCTTCTTTCTAAAAAAAGTAACTTTCAGAATATATATAAGCGTGTATATATATCCTATCACACATTGTAATTCAATATATATATATATATGAATATCTATTTCTTCCTCATTCTTTTTCTAACATAAGTAAACTTTCAAAATATATTTTCAACTTATTATTCTAAGCTATCCAAGAATTAAGAGAATTTTGTTTTAGATTATTATTTGAAAAAATGTTCAAGAACATCCCCACTCTTTTTTTGTGTGTGCGCAATTTTTTTTCGAAAAGTTTGAAATACTACTTTTTTTAGAAACAGTTTGAGAATTGAAAAACAGTTTGTCCACATTTTAAAAAAAAAAGATAAAAAGAAAAAAATTGAAAATACAACGAATAAAAAAATTCTCTTTTTTGTTTTATTTTTCTGACTTCTCTATTAACCTGTTAAATCAATGTGTAAAAATAAATTAATAAATAAATTTATACTTAAACTGATAATCTATGTAAAATCCACATACTATGCATAAAGCATCTGACATATATGCTCACAAAATCTACAAACAAATAAAATAAAGATACATTCATAAAGATAATATATACGCAAAATCTATACATTTTTTTTTCAATCAACATAATGAAGAAAATGAAAATGGAGTTTTTTTTTTTTTTCAATGAGTGTAATGAAAAAATAAAAACTATTAAAAAATTACAGAATTAATACAAAAAAAAGAAAAAGAAGTAAGGACGACAAACAAACAAACAAAAGCCTTAATTATTGAGAATTCTTTTTCTTTAAAAAAAATTAATACTTTTAGATTACTTACACTCAAAGAGAAACAAAAGATAAATATTGAAAAATAATTACTTGAAAAGTTATTTCTTTTGAATAACACAAAGTTGTAAAACAATCTAAAAAAAATAGTGTATATAAGTTGTAAGACAACCTTTAAAAAAAATAAAAATAATTTTTTTTTTTGTGTAAAACAACCTGGAAAAAAAAAAATAGGAATACAAATTCTATAAATGTAAGTTCTATATAATAACTCATCAAATGGCCAACTCTTGTATGTGTGTGTACTTTGCTTTTGTACTTCCTCCGCAAACTCATTCAAAACCACTTAATTTTGGCCCCAAAAGACTCTCTCAATCTCTAAACCTAATAATTGTTCTTCTTCTATTACGTCCCTTTTGTTCCTCAATTTCTTGTTTTTCTTCAATTCATTTGGGTATCTTCAATAAATTCAATTGCATTCTTTGAAAAATAAAAAAATTTATGTAATAGAATGATTGTAAAAGGGGAAGAAGAAAAAAATATATAGACAAAATGTATTTAAAAAAAAAAAAAAGAAAGAAAAAGGAACAAAACAAATAAACGAAAGTTTCAAATTTTCTCTTTAACGGTAAGTGATTTAAGATGATTTAAGAGTTTTCAATTTTTATATTAGAAAAGAGAAGAAGTTGTTGTAGAGTATTTATTTAGAAAATGTGATTGAGTGGGAAGTTATTGTAGAGTTATTTTCTCTTTTTCTTAATTATATAAATGCCACATGACAAAAGCTTTAAGAAACCAAGATAAGATAGGGCCTTAATATAATAGTATAGATAAAAATAATATGATATACATAATTTATATATACAATTTTTATATGTGACATCTTGTGATTCCTTCATTTACATTTAAAACACTATTATTGTCTTCATAATTTTACAAATGTCACAACCATATTACACTAGTATGAATTCAATATAAAAATTGAGAAATACTAGGAACCTTAAACGTGATCTCTAAAAAATAAAAATAAAAAATCCCTAATAATGTGGAAAGAGGTTATCTCTTGAGTAGTTGATAATTTAATCAATAATTAACCAAGAATAATTCACATCATTGTAAATACATTTATCAATTATATTTTTGGGATTCTAAGTTTTTTTCATAAAAAATATATAATCAAATTTTTATGGTAAATGATGGGGCTCAATATCCAACATATAAATGTTAATCGGATATTAGAAATTCTTTTATCAAAAAACTTTTGTATTAAATTTTATACTAAAAATCACATTTTGCTTTTTATTTTTTTCAAACATATGTATACAATAACATAACCAAAAATATACTAAATGGATCCCAAAAATATAAAATTACAATAAAAATCACATTTTATGTATATACATATTAAAATTATTATATTTTTAGATACATAAAATTATTTTGCTAAATGTAATTTAAAAAATAAATAATTTAAATTATTAAAATAAATCTTAAAATAACCTCATATCTTCTGAAATCCTATCTGTTGCATAGTTGTTAAAATTTTGCATCATAGTAAACAATGGAAAATATATAAACAAGACAATAAAAGAGAGAGGAAGATCATTTCTTCTATGCTACTTGGAAGGAGTGGGATCATACCATAGTTAGTGGATAACTGCTGTTGCGTTATTTGTATCCAATGGGAAATAGGCTTCGTTTAGAAATAGGTTAATTTAATAATTTTTTGACTATTTAATTAAAATATAAGCTAAAAAAATTATGTTTAGAATGAACTTTCGATTTTTTTTTTTTAAATGTGTAAAGAAATAATATAAAAAAATGAAAGTTAAAAACTTTACAATTTTGTCCTTGCACGAAAATCGAAATGTGTGAAATTCAATGTTTTGTTCCAGACGTGCAGAGCAACGTAAGTGGAATGGGCATTCAGAATTTTGCTATATAAATATATTAGCGTATATTTGTGTCTGAAGGCACGGTATAAATAATGTTGGGATTAGAATATAATTGTAATCTTAATACTATTTAATAAATTATCAATTATTAATTTAATATAATTGTAATCCTAACCCTTCTTGTCTTAAAAATAAATTATCAATTACAGAAATGAAATTATGCCTTCAACCTGAAAATTCCTGTTTCTCTACCAAGAAAATGGCATAGGCAAACAACCATTGTTGAGCTTTGGTGACCCACCACAAAACAAACTCAAAAACATCTATCTAAGTTCACAGAAGCTGTGGGAGTTTCCAATCAAATGAAGGGATTTGAAATTAAACTTTATAAGAACATAGGCGAGTTTTCAAATGAAATTCAATCAACGCCCAAATAGTTTTATTTTAGTTTAATTACGTGTTTATGCGATCTTTAAGTTGTTGTTATGTTATTTCTTTTACAGTCAACAATAAAGTAAAAAGTTTTGCGAGCAGGTAAAGAACAAAGTTTTTCAACAATCAAAGCAAATGCAAACTCAATGTTTGAACTTTCAAGGAAGGAGAAAAAAAGAAGCTTGAAAACAAAAACCTATTTGGTAAATTTTTGACAAATTTTCTACAGACTTAAAAGCCTAAAAATAAAACGTCCACTGTTTAATTGAGATTGAGATGGGCTCAACTCCAAAATACATTATTATTAACTCCAAAATTGGACATATCTCTATAAAGTTACATGTCAAATAGAAAGGGAAGCACTGTGTGCTGTACATGAAATCTTAGAAGTAATACAAAATATTATCAACCAACAAATCCAAACAACAAATCCGTCAGGATTCAGAATTCAAAAAACATAATTAACCAACAACAGCGATCAAGAGCAGAGAAAGGGAAATTCAAGAGACAATGTAAAATACCTCTGTTTTGGTGTTGAACGATGGGTCTTGAAGCCACTGTTGCGAAATTAAAAAACATTAAAAAAATTTGAGTTATTGACATAGAATGGTAAAGCTAAAGGAGCCTCAAGAAGGTCTATTAGTGTGTCCCCAATCTGAGAGTCCTTTGTATTATATATAGGCCAATCAGTAGTGATGGGTCATTACTCATGTCCATCTATGTGTGTCCATCTCTCACCTCACCCTTTGCCTTATTCTATACAAACATTCATATTCAACTTTACAAAACATTCATATTCAAGCAAACCCACAAAACATTGTCATAGAATTGCATATAATTGGCATTTATGTTATTTGGCATTTATGTCCTGATTTGAACCTTTGTTATTTGGCATAGGGAGTATACTTATAGTCCAGTTTATATTATTCTCATAGGGAGTATAGTTATTTGGCATTTATGTCCTGATTTGAACCTTTGTTATCTCATAGAATTGCATATAATTGCATGTAATGTATCATTATTTGGTTGGTTAAGAGTTGAAATTGATACTGTTTAGTGTATAGTTGTCATTTATGCCTGATTACAACATAATTGTCATTTGGTTCAGAGTTGAAATGGACACAATTTAGTGTAGGTCGACTTATTATATCATGAATTCAAGCAAAAAATATCATGAATTCAAGTTGGAAGTTGATTAGTTTTGGAATCAACCATGACCAAGAACTTCTCCAAGACCCGACCCCTGCTGTGTAGTAAATTTAGAGAAAATATTTTAGGGTCTTAAACATTTTACTAAGAACATCTCCAACCCTTCATCAATTTTATACACTGGACTATACATGTATATATATCAAGTGAAACCCATTTCAGACCCAAAACTTTTTAAAAATGAAAATATCCATATTCAAAATCTATTTCAAAATCTATGAAAATACAGAGTGTATAAACTGGGTTTATATATTCAAAGTCTATGAAAATATATTCAAAATCTATGAAAAATGAAAAAAAATTGTCTGACAAACTATTTTTGAAAATATTGTTCTTAAGAAACATTTCTAATTTTTTTTTTTTAAATTTTTCAAGAATGTTTTCACACCAAAATGGAAAAGATGTGTGTTTATGAATTTGTCATTGTTTTCAAAAACCCATATAAAAACAAAAACAATAATGAAAAAAAAAATTGAAAACAATAGTGAACTTACAAAATCATATGTTTGGTTAATGTGGTTCACTCGATAGAATTTCTCAATAGTTTGTTGTCTTTCACTCTTTGCATCATAGTCCCTGTCAAGTTTTTTTATGTTAGAATTCATCTCGTCAATTCGGCTAAAACTTGATTGATTTATAGCCCTAATTGCTACATGATGCAACTTCCATTTTTGCTCATATCGATTATAAATATAAAAAAAAGGGGGAAAAAAAACAAAATAAAACTGACCTAAATGAGTGGCCAAATGAATTGATCTCTGGGGCATCAAACCCAGTATCTTGCACAGATTTTGGAACTAGAAATCCTTCATGCAAAACCAAGTCATTGTTCTCAAAAAGAACCCTCTTATCCTCCCCTTGTGAACCTGTCAATAAAATTAAAAAAAATAAAAATAAAAAAAAAATTATGAAATTGATTTTCTATACTGATCATGACAACTATCAAAGTATGTATCCAAAATGTATACAGAAACATGTTTTATAAAAACAAAAACAATAAAAACATACCTGTAGACGTCCCCGAACGCCCCGGGAGGGTGAGTCCCGTTCTGTTCATATTGGGCTCGCTACAGTTCAGGACTCTCAAATTGCCACGGTTCTTAATCTGAACCAAATAGTCCAAATCCGGCAAATCGTTTTGGAAAACAGATTTGTAGAAAAGAAGTGCCAAACATGGACTGCTTCGCTAGATACAGAGTCGCCACCTAAATATTTTATTTTGGGAAATTTAGGAAACCCTGACTCGTTTGCCTAAGGCCACGTGTCCGTCATCACCAAAGTTGCCTCGGCTCGGGAACTTGGGTACGATTGGGGAAGGTCAACTATAAGCACCCCCGCTCGCCCGATCCGAAGATCGACCTCTACTAACCATGATATCTAGTTTTGAAAACATTGTGTGTTTTTATTCCGGTTATTAGCCTAGATTTACTATGTGATGCGCACAGCATACAAGTATAGACCAAATCGCCTAAATTGGAACAAAACATTTCATGTTTGTTTTGAAAATAGTTTGCTACTCGCAAGTAGGCTAAAATGCAGATTTTGCCACCCTCAAGTGGGCTTTAGAAAAGATGGTTTTGCCACTATCTAGTGGGCTTAAAATTCACAGTTTTAATGCGTTATCCCAATTTAAGCAATTCGACCTCCATCTACAAGCATTCAAGCAGTTATATCACATAAGCAGCTAGCCTCATGGTAATCATGCAATTATGGCAACACTCACACACATGCAGCATGCTAAAACATAAAAGCTCACCTAGTATTCCAAGCCAAAACAGAGACCAATTAGTAATCACATGCATGATCCTAGTTCATATTTGAAATGGCTAATGCAACACATGCAAAGATGCAATCCAAACAGGCTCGGCTATCCTAAACATGGCATGTGAAATGCTGCAACTAACAAATACTCAACTTGGAATTGAAATACGAGTGCAGTTAGCATGATGTACCGAGCCTGGTGCATGTAAGACAAATGTATGGATGCACGCATGCTAAGCATAAGGTATGCTAATTTAAATATGCCCTAGTCTACCATCATAAGCGGGTAAATAAAAGAGAGAAAGAAGTGGGGGTTGGAAGATATGCACACACTCACCCACACTTATTACAAGTCGCCCTCGCTCGGAGGGTCCAAATAAATATTACAGTCCGAATAATAAACACATTAATTATTACAGAATTTCTAATTAATTAACAGAATGAATGCAAAAGGAAAGGTGGCCACAGCCCCTGCCTCGGGATGCGCGAATGATGCATGCTCGAACCCGTCTCGCCCGGAAAGTCCGTACCATACCACTGCCGCCTCGGTTTACACTGCCCTGCTTCTCTGAAAATTGCCAAAGTTTTGGGATAGGTCCCTGAACACTGTGGAACACCATTGGCTGAAGGAAATGTCCACCGGCCATTGAAATATCCATCGGCTGCTGATGAAGCTACCGCCCAGGAAGGATTGCCGGTCGGCACTGAATACTGTCGGTCGGCAGAAAGTTCCTGCAGAATCTGGTTTTTGACAGCAACAAGAACAGACAGTGTATGGCATGGAATTTCAAGCAAGTGTATGCATGGCCACTCTCCCAATCATGTAATGGACTCGAGGGAGTATGCCCCTCGACCCTCGGGCCATCAATTACGCATGATGGCCTAAGAGGCCAAGTTTTGCAACTTTGATATCAAATGAAATGCAAGCACAAAACACATCAAAGGGCCCCAACCCCTATCATGATTGATCAAGAGGCAAGGGATGCATGTTCAATGAAATGCAACCTAGGCATGGAGGTTAAGTATGCAACATGAACATGCAAATGAGCAATGTATACTAGGCGCGCAACCTAAACATGTAAGTAAACATGGCATGCAACAACATGCGATGATGGACTTAAACTAACAGGATAGCTCGCAAGCATGCCAAAATCGGTGGCCATTAGATGAAAATGAGACTCTCGAAACGCGTGCACGCATGCACGCAAACCGAGGACCAAACCTAAGGCATAGTAATGCAACTCTAACAAGGCATGGCGAGGCATGAAATATGGCATACAAGCATGTAATTTCAGCACTGAAATGTGATATAAAACAGCCCCGAATCACGGAAACATGGCACCCGATGCATGGAATGAGACCCGAAATGCAAAACTAGGCACACGCAATGGCCTACAGCTATACAAAGCATACATTATTTGAACATGAAGCATGAATACAGATTCAAGGCAGCCCCAAAAAAAGCATGTTTTCAGTTTTAATCAAGACCAAACAATGAACACAAATAGGCTAAACCAATATGCAAAAATGGCCCTAAATGTGAGATAAAGAAGCAAGTCACAGCTGCTGGCCCAAAAAAGAGAGGGCCCTTCAACAATGTTGAAGAGACCAAAAAATGCATTTTTCAGTTATGATCAAACCCAAAACAGTGCACAAGTATGCTCAAAATACTATGCAAAACAAGGCCAAAAAGAGAGCTATAACACAAAGTACAAAAAGGATGCCTCAAACAGTAAAATACCTTAATGAAACATAAAGAGGGGGTCAAAATAAGGCCCTTTATAGTTCGGACCAAAGCTCAAAAACAGAAGCATAAGAGGCTAACAAATCATGCAAAAATGGAGCCAAAAGAGAGATATAAAGGCAAGTGGAAAATGGAAACCTCAAACAGTGATGAGCCCTTCAACAATGTTGAAGAAGGGCTCAAAATGAGAAACTTTACAGTTTATGACATGCCTCAAACAATTATACATAGGCCAAAAATACTACACAAGAAAATGGCATACAAGAGAGGCAATGAAGCAAGTGCAACAAGGAGGCCTCAAACAGTGAGAGGCCCTTAAAAAAAACATGAAAAGTAGCTCAAAATAAGCCTAGTTCCAGTTAGGGTCGGAGCCCAAATATGCAAGCACGTATGGCTTAGAAAGGATACAAAAATAAGCTTAAAAGAGAGGAAATGTTGCTCACCCTTGAAGACCAAAATTTAGCAGCATTTTGGCTTGAGAAAAGGTGCCTCCAAAGCTCTGAGAAGGCCCTCCAAGCTGCTGGAATGGAGTGGTGGTGTGGTGCTATAGGGTGTAGTGCAAATGGAGCAAGGATTTTAGGGTTTGGAGGCTTGGATGAGATAAATATATGGAGGATTGTATGTAATGCTCCAGCTGGTTTTCTCACCTGGTCTAAGGAAGAGGAGAGCTTCCTTTAAAGAGCCAAGAGACTAAAGCTTCTCTTAGAAGCTTCAAACCATGAGCAAAGATCCTCCATACACGTGTATGGAGGATCCAGTCTGTGCCCTCCAGCTGGCACAGCTGGCATCCACTCAATCTGTAGAATACTTCGTCGGCCAGCAAAATGGACGGTCGGCTAAAATAAATGGCCGGTCGGCACAATAAATTGCCGGTCGGATAAATAGATTGCTGACAGATGCTTTAAGGTCAAAAAGTGGCCGGTGGGTGTCTAGATTGAAGCCCCGGAAGTTAGCTTTCCAATGGCGCAAACCTTGCATTAAAATTCCTCCTGTGCAAAAAGTTATGTCCTTTTTGGTGAAGCCGCGCAGATTCGATCCAACCGGGATGATGCCCAACTTCAACTGATCATATCTCCCCCACCGGACTTGGCTTTAAGAGATTCTTGAGTGAAAAATGAAGCCCCGGAAGTGAGTTTTCGACGGTGGTGGCCCATAGCTAAAATCCAAGTATGCAGATTAATAAGCCCGATTCAGCGAGGACTGCTCGACTCCTTTCTACCCAGATTCATGCCCGTCTTCTCCTCCAACTTGGTTTCTTCTCTCTTCCCCTCCTTTCTTCAACTTCAAACCCCCAAGCAAGGTATTTTGAAAGATTTTTTCAAATATTTCATCTCTCTTTCATTCATTCCACTTCGTCCCTGCTTGGTTACCGAAAGTGCAACGTTTGACAAAATGCGAGCCTCGGAACAACGCAGAAAACTTTATTTCAAAAAATTTTTTGAAAGAAGGGTTTAAGGTCTAAAAACCATCCAAAATAGCTTTGGTCCAAAACGGGGTGTGAATTTGAGACTTGTCTCTCTCCTTGCCGAAGAAACTGGATCTTTGCCCTGCACACCTTTATCACCAAGTAAACCATCAGTAACGCCCAAGTCTTATGGGCTGTCAAAAATGGGGTGTCTATTGCTACATGATGCAACTTCCATTTTGCTCATATCGATTAAATATAAAAAAAAAGGGAAAAAAGGGGAAAAAAACAAAATAAAACTGACCTAAATGAGTGGCCAAATGAATGATCTCTGGGGCATCAAACCCAGTATCTTGCATAGATTTTGGAACTGGAAATCCTTCATGCAAAACCAAGTCTGTTATCAAAAAGAACCCTCTTATCCTTCCCTTGTGAACCTGTCATAAAAAATTAAAAAAAATAAAAAAAAAATAAAAATAAAAAAAATTATGAAATTGATTTTCTATAAAACTTTTGGATCATGGGAACCAAAAACCATCAAAAAAAAAAATTCTCCCCTCTTTCCCTTTTTTGTTGGTTTTTTTT